GCTGCCAACAAATTTGCTTCTAAGTTCTAATACAAACTATGGGAAATGATCAGGATATGTGGATTTAGAGATTATATTTTAGAAGAAATATTATAAATTTCTGGTTAATGATTTTGTAAATTGTTGCATATAATAAGTGATTTTAGCGCCGGACAAAGGTGTGATATGATGATGGTTATGCAGTAACTCGGTTTCCTCATTTAGACTTTTTACTCTTCTCCGTTTTCTATTTGGTAACTTCCACTCAAAGTGCAAGTTCTTATACACATTACTGCTAGAAGAAGACTGGAAGACAACATATCTTGAATGGTGAAGGATTAGTACAAGGTGTCACATGTGTTCTTTGCCAGGCAGGACAGTATTCCCATGTTCATCTTTCCTTGAAGGGCAGATTTATTTTCTCAATTTGAGCTCCTGTTCTGCGCGATTTGAAAATAGAGACCTTATTTGGGGATTTGTCAACTTTAATGGACTTTCTGGACACTGTAATATTCCTGCAAATGTTGGAATGGAGTTGAATATACAGCCATGTGTATAGCCCTACAAATTTGGAATGAGCATATTAAAGAGTTTGTATAACAAGTTTGGGATTATTCTAAACAGTTTTGGATTATGTTAATTCCTTTATTGCATTTTGGCTAGAAAATCCATCACCTAAAAACAGTCAGAGAAGTTTCTAATAGTTGCCCACAGGGTGCTGCTGAAAAAGAGCGCTGGAGGCAGCTAGAAGCAATGAGGAAGTTACCAGTTCAGTGGGTTGCGATGATTCTTCGCAGATGGCAGAACAAGAAATCAGATCGAGGTTGTGATATTGGAGTAAGATGCCAGTGGTGCTGATGTTCATCTTGGTTGCACACTTTACTAATGCTTTAATGTATTGTCTCACAAGTTATTGAACCTGCAACCTTACAATTTCCCAGTTTACCATTCAAAGACTTCATGTTTAGTCTATTTATTCACAATGTTTAGTCTAGATACCTATTTGTCTATTTGCTGGTTCATTTTGTGAGCTGCTTCTATGTTAAGTCATCAGCCTTGGAATCATCTTCTATTTTAGTTACTACCTTGCCCATCTTTACATGTGATCACTATAAACGACACTATTTTGAATGGGATTTGATGCTGATCTAACAAATAAAGCAATATAATAGCTTGATTCTTATTTTTGATAGTACTTGGTACTTATTTATTAGTATATAATATATATACAAGATTTGTTGATCCTGTTTCATTTACCCCTCTCACGCAATGGCCTGTGTTTAACCATTTTCCTTAATTTTCTTATTGAAATTAAGTTTCTGTCAAGGTGCCCGACGCTTGAAAAGCATTTGGATTTGCAGCTGCAGCTGATTACTTCGTCGGCCAGACAGTCTGCAGTCAGTAGACCGCCAAGGTTTATGTTCTTCCTTAGCTCTATGCTTTGAATCTCTATGTTGTGAGCTAATTATTTATAGTGATTTCAATGACATTTTCATTTACTTTGGAATGTTTGTATTATAAGCATACCTATATGTATTACTTATAGTTAACATCTGTAGGCTTATGTTAAGTTATTGGAGCTGATGTGTGCGTTTGTGATATATATATATAAGCATGTTTTGATTGAATGGGACACACAATAGTTTTCTTATTGCATTTGATATTTTTTTATTTTAATAATATGACGGTTAATTATTCATTGAAGAGGCGGGATGCATTAGGACAGGTACTTGGTTTTAAACATACAAGTGTGAGGTTATTGATGTGGTTCTCCATACGATTATTGACAACATACAAAACCATGATTTTTATGATATTTTTGATTGGTGACTGAGTATTGAGTTTCTAATACTTTGATTAGGTGTGCTCTTTATGACCACTTTGTTTTGCACTTAACTATTTTATTAAATGTGTAATTATGTAGCTTATTAAACTACATGCAAGTTTTCCTTAAAAAAGGTTGTCTCTTATTGCTATTATCTTTGTTCTTTTTGGTGTATAATAACTAATGCTTTAATGTACATGCTTTAGGTCCAAAAGGACCGTGAAATTAATTCCTTTGTAAAGCAGCAACAAAAATTATTTATTAAATTTATTTTTTCTGTTTTATGACATTGACAGGTTATCATTATTCTTAAAAGGATAATCAATGAAGATTATTGGATGATATTACGACTTCTTCTTATTTAAACACCTACTATAAGACCATCTGTTATGATGGACAACTCTACTAGAAGTGAGGTAAGTTTGTTCTGTTTCACAAAATGATCGATAACCTGTACAGCATTACAAGACCATTGCATCACATTTCTTATAAATTATTTATTTCATTGAAAAATAGGTAAGTTTATATGTTTTAATTGAACTGTACTAATTAGCTTGCCCTTTGTGGAGATGTTGCATTTCAGTTGTACTAACTACTGTTGGCTGTTTTTCTTGTTAGGCTTTGAACTTTGCATTCAATGATTACTTTGAATTTTGCTTATCTGAAAATTTTCATCGTATCATGAGTGTTTTGTTAAGATCCTTTCAGAGAACCGGGATATTAAAAGCTTTTTATACATTTACAGGAATTTCCATGATAACTATACATTAAAAGCTTAGAAGTTGAATTAACCACAAAATTAAAAGTCTTTCTAAAGTTAGTGTTCTTCCTTTAGATTGAACCGTTAAAAGTCTTTGAAGTTGTCACGAAACAAAAGCACACTATGTGGTTGCATGCATGCATGATGTTTATATTGGCCAAATGAGCTGAACCGGCTTGATAATGAGCCAAAAAAGGCAGTAATTAGGCTCAAAAAATCTTCTGATTCTTCCGAACATGTGGGAGAGGCAAGAATAAACCAAAGACTGAACCCTCGGTTGATTTGAAGTTGTTTCGATGCTCGATCCAGCTTCAATTTGAATTCTGGTTCAACGTTGAAAGTCTTTGAAGTTGTCACGAAACAAAAGCACACTATGTGGTTGCATGCATGCATGATGTTTATATTGGAATGGGTGCATGATAAATTTTTTGTTCTATGAGTCCTCTTTTGCTGATGCTTGGCCTCGAAAAAGTTGCTGATATTAGCCCAAAAACTTGCCCAATTATTGCGGAGATACTCGGGTCATTGTCATCTGCATCAAAGGAGTTATTTTAGGCACTTTGAGTAAATAGCATTCTGAAATGTCAGATTGATGTCAAAAACATTGAGGTAAGTTTATAAGCTTATGAAAGGGGGAACATTTAAAATATTTGATGCTGACCTTAAAGCACCCATGTAGAGAACTGTTCGAAACTTCAAGATGGTGTAAAAACGACAGAATCATTATTACATTTCTATTACATCGTCAAAAGCTTGGTTCATATCAAGGTAGAGTTGAATAACATATGACTTCATTCTCTTCTTGAGTATTGCAAAAATTGCATACAATCTTCTTTCATCTGTAACTTGTTCCATTCCTTATCTGAAGCTCAACATTTATTCACTTTCCTGATGCAGAATCAAGGTTTTGATGTGATATTATCAGATGCCGATAGCGTGTTTCATTCCATTAAGGTGATAAACCTGCAAACTACCCTTGTAATTTCTCTTACTTTTTTTTACTAGCTTTCCTTTTGATGAGTTGAATATAAAGGCGTAGTCCCACAAGATCAAGTGCAAACCAAACAAAAGGAGTTGGAGATATGCTCTCATTAGCATTTTGTTTTGTAAATGTTTAAGGATATTTTTTCCATAAATTTTGCATGTGGGCTGTCGGTTTATTTGAAAATGTTGTACTACTGTACGCTGAGGTATTTCGAAGGTAAAATAAACACAAACAAACCATTTTTATTTATTTCATGTGATATATGTGAGATTGCTAAGAATTCAGTTTACCAATCTGGCTTTTCACATGCTCTTAAGGTATGTATTCAAATTGATTATATTAAAATTGATATAAATTTTCTTGAAGGATAGTACTTAACTCCAAATGTTGCAAGTGCATGTCGTTAGCAATGCATATATTAGAACATTACTCATGAATCTCAAAATGTTTCTAGATGTGCGTGACTAATCAATAGGAAGCTTTTAACAGTTACATCAAAAATATACAAAGATGGTTATATGTGACTGATATACACCAAAGTAATGATTATTTTCTCAGAACAAAATTATGAATCTGTAATTAAGAATTAAGCAGCATGATCTAATTACTCAATTCTGCAAAATATACAAACCATGGTATGTGATCAAATAGAATAATTTACCAATATACTTATTACTGAAGTATTCTTGCAAATGTTTATGCCTTAAAATATTACAGATTTCATTTTGTCCTAGGATTTAACTATAGTTTCTACCAAGCCAGGTCCATACTGCCTTTGATTTATTGTGAAGAATAACAAGTTTTTTCCCCATGATTGTGCTTAGGCATTTGAGGAAGCTGTTTAAGGTGGATCCCGCAAATTTTTTGATGACCATTTGTGGGAATGATGCCTTGAAAGAGCTTTCATCTCCAGGAAAGAATGGGAGCTTCTTCCAATTGACAAAGTATGATCGGTTCATGATAAATAAGGTGAAGAAATCTTAAGTAAAGGTTGATTAGCTTAGCTCTTTTAGCCTAAAATCTTTTATTTTGTCTTTCCTTTATGGTGAACGTTGACTCTCTGATTGACAGAAATGCTCATGACAGAATTTCAATGCATTAGTTTGTTTCAGAGCATTACTTGTGGAAGTCATATATTAACAAACAAATAGTTGAAATTCTGAGTAACGAGAAATTCATTCTAACCGAAGCAAAGTTTTCAGAGTGAGGTAAATACAAACTGTCACATTTTAAGCTCTAGGCTTTTTCTAATTGAACAAAACATATTTTGTCAACATCACCTAAAATTTTGTCATGTGATTTGTTAGGCTGAAACTTACGGTTTTTCTTTTGGATATTAGTTCTGACAAACCATTTATTGGATGACCTGGATTTTTCTTCCTCCTGTTTTGCAGGGACAGCATGTGGTAGTCTTGAAAATCCAAAACTCACTTATACTGAAGATGTTAAGGTACGTTCAGGCAGCAATAAGATTTCTCTGTTAAGTGCTTCCGTTGGTCTTCCTGTAAGTTTGCTTTACCTACTTTTTCCTGTAGAAAAGCTGATAACAACCATAAACAAATTAAACTTTTGATTTAATTGAAGAATGTCGGGGAGCATTTTGAGACATGTAATGCTGGAGTGCTTGGTCCAGTTACACTGAATGGTCTTAATGAGGGACGAAGAGACCTTACATGGCAAAAATGGAGCTATCAGGTTAGCTGTCTTCAAATTAGTACTGTGAATGAAAATAAAGATTGCAGGTTCAGTGATTTTTATGTTTGTTTGCAGATTGGTTTGAAAGGGGAAGAATTGAAACTTCATTCTCTTACCGGAAGTTCGAGCGTTGAGTGGGGTCAAGCATTTCAAGACCAACCTATCACATGGTACAAGGTTAGGACCATTTACTTTTAGATATTGTTATTGATCGATGATTAAGTGAAAAAATTTCAATTTACGTTGAGAAAAAAAGAGCATATATAAGCAGAAAATAATATCGAACTCCAGTTAATTCCTCTTTGCTTTATGTATTGAAAACTTGCCCTGCGACTTTTTTGCATCTTCATCAAATGTGGCCAACTTACTTTATCTAATTATATTATACATGAATGCTTCAGGATGTAGTGTCAAATTTCTTTATCGACTCTGCCAAATCAACTTGAAACACTTTAAATTCTAGATTATATAATTGACATATTCGACATGTTTTAAATGTTACATCATGTTTGTGAATAAACCATATTTGGATGTTTCGAAGCCCTGAATCTGATCATTGCATCTGTTCAAATTTGAAGCCTAACTCTCAAAACATTTGGTTTTTTTATTTTGTAAATATTTGGATGAATTTACATAACATTTTAGTAATTTATTATTTCAGGACATCTTTTGTCTATATATGAGGTCTCTGGCAGTTGAAACCGAGTCAAAAGACCAATGGAACTATAGATTTTTAGGGATTAGTGAATCAGGGAAAGGAGATTATGAATTTCCACAAGTTCTATCACTATTATTCTCAGTTCTCAAGAAGACAATTCAAAAGAATGAGAGTTTGCCGGATTCTACAACGAGGAAAGCTAATGACACCATTGACCATGGTCTCAGATCACAGGAACTTAGCATACAAAGTTACACTAAGCACATATTCAAGTACTCAAATTGTAGCCATTCATGCTTTATCCTTGCACATCTATACATTAACAGATACCTCGTGCAACCAGGTGTCCATCTTTCTTGCCTCAATGTTCATCGGTAGCTAATGACAAGTGTGGTCATTGCAGCAAAATTCATTGATGATGCGTAAGTATTGCATGCATTCTTCTTTCCAAATGTTTTAACTTTGGATTTAGTTCTAAAAAAAAGCTCATAGTTCTTTGGGAGTCTTCTGTTAAGTTTGTTACATTTGTTTATGTCATAGAATATATCATGTTTCAATTTCTTTTTTATTTAAAAAAAATCCTCTTTCATGCTTGCTACAGTACACATTTTTGTTAGGAATATAAACTGTTTAGACAATAACGAAAATCAGTTTAAGTAATTTAATAATTAACATATATAAAAAATATATCAAATGAAAAATAAATAGAGTTAAAAATATATCAAATGAAAAATAATTAACATATATAAAAATATATCGAAGCGTGCAAAGCACTGTCCCAAGAAACTAATTGCCCCCTCTCGTACAGGGCTACGCGACAATAGATCTCGGAGATACGACGACCCTCGGTCAGGCGACCTCCTTCTCGTCGGCACGAGCTTCAAGAAGGTTTTACGAATCCTTCGTGACTTTCAGGGAACCAACGAATCGTAACAGCAAGTAAGTGTAAGAGGAAGAACAGAGAAGAAGAAGAACTTGTTGTATTTCGTTGTGTCTTTTGCCCTCGCACCTTGCAGTTTATATAGAGAAAAGAAAACCGTTATTTAGCTAGCCATTTAACACGTTCTTAATGCTAATAAACATTACCGTTTAATACGTTATAAATGTTAATTATGTTGTAAATGTTAAGCAATAATTTAGCTAGCCGTTTATTAATTATTATCATATTAAACACGTTTTAATTGCTTAGCTCGTTTGATTAACATGTTTTAATTGTTCCAATTAGCAAAAAATAAAAGTTCAAAATGTAGCAGATCAAGAGCCCCTCAATCCGGAGCTGTATTCGTGTCCGTAGGTCGTGTACGCGCGCCACCCGACCCCGATCCCGGCCCGGCCGGCGCGCGCGTGTGTGGTGTGGAGTATAACCTTTATTTTCTTCTAGGCATAGGAGAGAAAGGAAAGACATATAAAGAACCTATCTTCCCATCTATTTTCCAATGTGGGACTAAACTTTTCCTCTTTTCCTCTACAAACCCAAGTTTTAAGTTACAACTCCAACAAATTTTATCTATTTTCAAACCAAATGCTTCTATGCCACTCATTTATTGTGTTTCATTAACAAAATCACTTGTTCATTGACCTAATATAGATAAACTGTGTTTATAATATCTTCATTTTATTAACTATTGCCAAAAAATGTTTTCCAGATTAGCAATTACTAAATTTCGTACTTGAAAACTTTCATTTAGGTAGTAAAAAAGGGAGAACAATTGGTTGCTTAACAGAGCCTTCTCGTCACCATGCATCAGGACAAGCCGAAAATGCATGCAGCTTACTAAAAACTCAAGTAGCAAATGATTCAAAAGAAGCTTTGATGAGTCAATAGTTCTATATGTCATTGCTATTAGCCAGTGATAAGTCAGCTTCAGTGGACCTATGCTACATCTGATATTTTACGATTATGAAAATTTTGATATGACTCATAAATACGTATATATATATATATATATATATATATATATAATAGAGTATGAAAGAGCTGTAAACATGAAATAAGAGATATTGTAACAACGTTTGTTGAAAAATCATTTATATGATAGAAAACATCAAAAATCGTGTTAAGTGTACATATATTGAGCTTAAATATAAACATACAATATATGTAAGTAAACTACTCTTATACCTAGGTAATTCCACACATATGAACTTGAATATTTAACGCTTGATTGTCGTTTGTTGAAATACCTGTAAAGAGAAACATAACAACAAAACTAGAGAATATATATGCGATAAATTGTTTGACAAATCATCATCAAAACTATATGGTCAACAATATTAACCGAATTGTTTATTAAATATTTGGTTCCCTTCCACCCCTACTCACGCACTAGCTAAATAAGCTCTTGAAGTAGGTAACTATTAGGTTTGGATGGAGAAAATTCCATCCACATTTATTGATCTTGTGATGAACGATTGTAAAATAAGAAATATAATATAGTAAATGTGAGAATTAATTGTCTATTTTCATTTCTACATTTGGATACAACTAGAAAATAAAATGGGAATGATAATTTTTTTTATTTTTGATGCATAGAAGTAAAAAAGCAAATAGAATATGTTTAAAATTTATTTCAAATTTTTTCCCATTTTCGTGGAATTCCTATATCATTGCTAATTCACACTACTAAATAGGGGAAGAGATGAAAAGTGGGAATAAAATTTTTATATTCTATCAAAATTGTGTATTTGGTATGTATGAATAAAAAGTGGAAATGGGCATTCTATTATGGAGTTCGAGGAGTAAAGATTTCCAACCTTTGGAAACTCATTGTTATTTATATATATGTCCCTTAAATCATATGTAATTGCAAAACTACCCTCTAAATCTAGATATTTGCAAAAGTTACCCTAAAGCATCAACTTTGTTAAAATTACCCCTCAAATCAATAAACCATCAACTTTGATGGGCTGATTTGTCATTACAATATAAATATTTTTTTAAAATATTAAAAGATTTCTCACCATATCTGACAAGGTCCATGGTTTGCTGATCTTGGGTTTATTTATTTGTTTATTTTTTTTTCAAAGTTGATGATTTGAAGGATAGTTTTAATAACACTGAACTTTAGGGATAGCTTTTGCAAATATATATAATTTAAGGAGTACATGTAAAGAAAACATTTCCCATAATCTTTCGGTCCTTCTATTTCTTGTGGGCATTTTCTGTTCGAAAATAAAAGATCCACCTTTTTAACTAAAAGCTTTACTTCTTATGTACAGGTCAATTATGATTTATTTTAAAAATAAATATCGCCATAATTCCTTCCAAAATTTTCCCTTCCTTTGAAATAATCTTATATTCACTTTTGACCTCACATTGATCATAGCTATTTAATAAATAAATTTGATTAAAAAAGTGGATCCATATTTCTTTCGTGATGTCTCTACGTTAAATTTTGTTGATATGTACACTCGTGATATCTCTATGTTAATTATTGATATATTGATATGTACACTCGTAATATCTCTACGTTAAATATTGTTGATATGTTGATATGTACTCTCTCTCTCTCTCTCTTCCCCACATTCACATGGATATTAGATTAGGGGCTGTTTGGTTGTTTTCCGAAAAAAACCGGAAATGGAAATGTCACATTTCATTTGATTTCAACCCATTTCAAGAGTTTTCCCACCTTTCTTTTTTTGTGTTTGTTTCGCAAAGAAATCACCTCATTTCACCGCCAAGTCACACAAACAGACAAAAAAAGCCGCAATAGTAACAGTGCACCACATTTCTATTTCTTGTGTTTGTTTGAACAAAAAGCAAAGGAAAGAGAAATCAGCCCATTTAAATAATCTGTTTTATTCAGCTTTAATATTCTAACAGTGCTTTTAGTAATAAATAATTCATTGAAGTGACATTTCCAAGTGTTTTCAGAGGTTTTTGTTGTGAAAACACATTTCTTAAAAAGCTGATGTGGCATCCTACGTGGCGTTTCATTTCTTTAAATTACAAAATGAAACAAACTGAAGAAATGGAAAACCCTTGAAACCAAAATCCTATGTGGCACATAGGAGATTTCTTGAAAGGTGATGTGGCGGATGTTTTCTCATTTTTTTTGAGCAAACAAACAGACCCTTATAAACACCTCAATACAATGACTCTCTCTCTCTCTCTCTCTCTCTCTCTCTCTCTCTTCCCCACATTCACTTGGATATTAGATTATAAACACCTCAATACAATGAATATTCAATTTCTCTGGAAAGCTTAATACTTAATTAGTAAGTAAAAACTTACACTTAACATTTGTTAGTTTTTAATAAAAAGAAAAAAAAACCATGAAGCAAAAAAATGAAATGATTTATGTGATTTATTTTTTCCAATTTACCTCAGCGCATCCCAAGTATTTTCCTAATAAATTAAAACAAAGTGTCTGAATATAACTTTATATTCAACCGCCCCCCTGAATAACACAGAAGATCATTAAGAACTCTATTTCGTTAATGCTTAGTACAAAATACACTAAGTGTTGGCTAATCCATTAACATCGGGGGACA